GGCAACCGGGACAGAATCCGGCGCCCCGACCGGGACTAGAACCTGGTGTGCCGGCGCTGCTAGGCGGAGGATTAGCCTAGTGAGCCGCGGCGCCGGCCGAGGCCAGTGTTCTTAATCAAACAAGAAACCATTTGTCTTAGTAAAAATTGCTTTTAAAGCAGTCAGCTCTGTGGCACAGCAGGTAAAGCCGCTTCCTGCAGTGCTGGCATTCCATATGCATGCCAGTTCAAGTCCCAGCTGCTCCTCTTCTGATCTAGTTCCCTGCTAATGTGCCTGGAAAAGCAGCAGATGACCCAAGTCCCTGAGCCCCTGAACCCTCATGGGAGGCCCAGAAGAAACTCCTGGCTCCTGGCTTAGGCATGACATGGCCCTGGCCATTGTGGCCATGTGGAGAGTAAAACAGAGAATGATAACCTCTCTGTGTCTCTTTCTCGCTCGCTCTCTCTCTCTGTCTCTCCCTCTCTCTTTCTCTGTAACTTTACCTTCAAAATAAATTACTTCTAAAATGCAGAAATAGAACTTCACTCCTCTTGCCCTGAAAAAGCAAAACAAAACCCAAACCATGTCCAATCAGGCTTTATCTGAAAAATACAAAAGATAGGATTGTCACCCGTACTTGTCAACAATGAATGGATTTCCACTGCTTACCCCGCAGAGGGCGGAGCCTCTTCCATGAAGCAGGAAGTGGCTAGTTACCACGTGGAAGCTGCCTGGGGGTGCACACTTTTCCCTGTGTTTATAATGCGTCATTTCCACACTTCCCACTAAAGCCATTACCAATGCTGTTTTCTTAAGTAGATGGTACTGCTTGCTACAAATGAGGAATCATCAGACAAGTGACGCTTCATCGAATGCCTGCTAAGGGGATCCAGCATTCCTGTAGACATCCGAGTGCAGGTACTACAGGGACGGATAAGGGCTGAGCTTTCCCATCACTGAAGCAGGATGCTGTACTGCATAGGTACAGCGTTCGGACACTGTATTCTGCACTGACTAGGCTATACCGGTCTTCACAGAGCTAGGTCAGTCCAACAACTTTGTTTTTGTTTTTCTGTCTGTGATAACAGAGAAAATGTGGCGGCCACATTTTAAGAGTGACACGGATAAACCAGGCTTCTTCCTGAGGAAGCAATGGGGGTGGCAGAGTCTGGGAAACAGGCCCTATAGGATGAGCACAGGAAGTGAAGGTGTTTACACTTCAAGGAGACACAAGAAGGGTTTGCAAATACCCAGCGACACAGGGAAGGGGACAAGAGTTGATTCACTCTGAGTCGTCCAAAGGACAAATGCTAAGCAGCGAAGGAAATGCATTCGACAGAAGACGTTAGCTTTAAAGAAGGAGAACTTGCCAGTGGTGCACACGCTCTGTGGCTCTCCAAACCAGGCCCTCCAATTCCTGGATATTCATGAACACCAGCGCTTTGGAGAAGTGATTCTTAAATAAAGCACAAGACCACACCAGGTGACGCTCCAAGACCATTCCAAGGTCACTATGACACATCCAAAATCCAATCACTGGGCCCCACTGCACTGACTGCTGAACGTTGGAGCATTTACCTCACATGTAAATTGCAGAAGCACCCGCAGAGTGAGTCAGTCTGATAGTGACCGCACAGTTCATGTCTTAAGCTGGAAGTCACTCAACTCTACATGTATGAAAGGATTGCACACAACCACACATCCATGCACGCACACACATGTATATTCATGCAAAACCGTGCCTGCACACATGTACATACGAGTGCACACGTACACACACACCTGTACATGGGCGCACGCACTGAAACTGGTGGGATCTAAATCAAGTCTGTACTCTGATTAACAGTTGCCTGCCCATGTCAGTTTCCTGGTTTTGCTCTTGTGCTCAAGTGGACAAGGTGATACCACTGAGGGACGGTGAGTGGAAGCTAAAGAGAGCTCCGTGCTCTTTATGCAACTTCTTGTGACTCTATCATTTCAAAGTCGAAAGTGCAAGACAAATTAAGAAAATGAAGGAGGGAGAGGAGCAAGAAGGGGAGGAGGAGGAGGAAGACCTTTCAACTACTTTCCTCAAAGTTACAGAAGAACACGGAAATATAAAGGGTCTTCAAATAGTTCGTGGAAAATAAAGATTACCAGAAAAAAATGCATGGATTTCAAATTTGCTTTGCAACAAAGTAAACCTGTGTTTTAAATTTCATTTTTCCACAAACTTTGCAAAGCCCTCATGCGTTATCAGTGGACAAGGAAGGAAAACTCCCCGAGGAGGGGATGGCTTGCTGATCGCCCATTTCCTGGACACTGGACACTGCCAGTGAGTCCCTAAGTACACTTCGACTTCCTTCTCCAGCCTCGTCTCCCCAGCTCCATCCTTTCCTTGGCAATCCAGTTGCCAGACGCACAGTTTAAAGATCTAGCCCAATCTCTCCACAGCTCGCCTTCACTAACAGGACTCCTGGCCTCTCTGGCTCTCGCGCCCACACCAAGGCAGCCACCGCAGAACCCTGCTGCACACTGGGCTTCTGCACACTGACTCTCACTTGGCTCAGACTGAGGTCACTGCCCCGCACATCCTTCCCCTCACTCTTCACCTAACTCTTCCTCCTCTTTCAAGCTGCCGACTAAGTAACTCAGACCTTGGCTGCCCCTCCCTACTTCTGCCCCACAACAGAGCTAAGTCTTCCTCCTCAGCGCTCTGCTGACTTCTCTCCAAGGGCCACTGAAAATACCACAGACAGCTCTGTCCAACCAGGATAGAAGATAAAACAGCCAGAAGCAAGCTGGGCACATGCGTCAGGCCTGGCGAATCAAAGATGCTGAGTGGCTCTAAGTACTTGCTCTTCCTACAATTCTGTGATATGTTCATGTCTCGCTCTCCTCTGTGAACAAACAGTTCCTCGGAGCAGAGACCATTCTTCTTCTGTAGACCCTGGGAGCAACAAACCTACATTCAGCTCAGCTCACCTGACTTACAAGAAGGACTCCCTGACTGCCAGGAGGCAGAATGAGTTGCCTTTTCCTGAGACTGAAGAGTCAACCAGAGAACTCATTGGCAGCCAAAGTCAATGGAAACCAAAGATAGCCTTGGGTGTAGCATCCGAGTCGAATCAGAGGGAAGCCACACAGACTGCTGCATTGCACCTGCTGATGCAGCTCCAGGAAGAATGGACAAGGTGCTCAGAACAGTACTACGAACAGCCACACAGCCAAGGACGGGCCCCCTGGTGATCTGCACACACATGCACAGATCCGACAAAATAAAGAAACTCATTGGATTAGGAATGTGCAGCTGCAGTAAAGAGAAAACAGCACTTAGGGTAGAGAGTGAAGTGCATGTTCAAATTGACATGCCCCTGCAGCTGTCCTAATTAGAACCACGTGACGGTGAGGGGAGATCCAGCCCAGTGAGACAGGTGCATTACCGGGGAGAGGGCAGGAGAAGGGAGCACTGGGAGTAGACAAGCTGATGAGTGTGTCATGGCCCTAGGTGATGCTGGCCCAGAACTGCCTCCCTGATAGCTCCTTCCACATTCTCCAGTTTTCTTTGGGTCCTCCTTAATTCAGATTTCTACACTTGTGGGGCATAAACTTCTGTCTGAGTACCGTGCAAGGAGAAATAGCTCAGAGCGGACTCAGACATCACCTGAGTTGAGTGCCCGTCCTCTGACCGCCCGTGATGGACCCCTCGCGGCCTCCAGGTGCACAGGCACTGGTCACAGGCCTTGCAGAACCTGGCAAAGACTCAGTGCCTTGGCCAGGGCTTGCACGTGGGGAAGCTATGATGTATTTGTGACTCAGGCAGATGCAAGGGAAGGGTACAATGCACCCAAGTGTTGCTTCCAAAGGGATTTAGGACTATGTAATAAGCATGAGTTCTTCCCAATCAGCAAGTCACATCTCGTCCCTTCAAAGACATCCGCTGGGCTGCCGCTTCCCAAAGGCTGCCCAGGCGTCCACTGAGACCTGCTGTTTATTTCATCTGCCCAGCTCTACACTGGACAGAGGGTCTCAACCAGCAGATATGAGTCTCCCCCTTCCCTCCCCTCCATCCTCCTGGCTCTTTGGGATGCTGACTCAGCACAGGCGCCTCCACAGTCAAAGATGCTCATGTTAACTGAGTAGCTATTTTGTGCTTCACAGAGACCCTTAATACAGACTATCTCATTTAAAACAGAGAATAAAAGTTCCCGCTAGCAAGCCAGAAAGATAACTGTTAAGGCCAACGTTGTGGTCCAGTGGGTTAAGCCACCATCTGTAACACTGGCGTCCCATATGGGTGCCGGTTCATGTCCTGGCTGCTCCACTTCTGATGTGGCTCCCTGCTAATGCACCTGGGAAAGCAGCAGCAGATGGCCCAAGTGCTTGGGACCCTGCTACCACATGGGAGACCCTGATGAAGCTTCTGGCTCCTGTCTTCAACCTGGCCTAGTGCTGGCTATTGTGGCCATTTGGGGAAGTAAAACAATGGATGAAAGATCCCTATCTAACTATCTATCTAACTATCTATCTCTATCTTTCCCTGTAACTCACCCTTTCAAATAAATTTTAGAGAAAAGAAAGATAATTCCCCCAAAAAATCAGTTTCCATTTCATCTTGAGATTTTCTGTCTATGAGCAGCGGCTCTGTAAACCTAAGGAGGTCTCACATAGAAGTCACTCTGCCAGTATCATTGCCTCTAGCTTGGAATCAATGGAGGCTAGAGGTTTCCCACCTCACAGCAAGTCAAGGAGGCACTGCCCCCCGGTCCCCAGCTGTGGGAGTTGGGGAGGCCCTGAGTACTGGTCTCCTTTCTAAAATCATCAACACCCCAAGGTAGCTTACAAGCACTGTCTGGACATCAGCCACAGAACATGCTACTTTTGGTAAATACCAGCCTCCTAATACGAGAGAGTCCCTGTTTCCTATTCCTTCTTCTACAGCTAACGGAGAAATGGTGGGAGCAGGCAGGAAGAACCGCCCCAGTGTCTCTCCCAGCCGCACTTGGTGCTGTCACCGACACGGTAAGGACTAGAGCACTTACAGCAAAAAGGCCGAGGACACAGCAAAGCGTTCACAGCACGTGCCGTCCGAGGGCCTCCACTGGGACTCCAGGGCTGCGACTAGGGCAATCACCCTGAGGAAGACCCTGAAAGAGGCGCCGAGGACAAGGTCAGCTGGCCGGCTGGAGACTCGCGGTACCAAGTCCCAGGGCCTGGCTCCCCGGGGCCAAGGCACCGTGCGAGGAAGGCAAAGAAGACCGAGAGGTTAAGAAAAGTCCCTCAGACTCCAGAGGGCTTCTGTGTGGCCTGCTCAGCGGCCCACTGACTCAGAACACTTGGCCTGGGGCGCTTAGCAATGGCAGCCCCTTCCTCTGACAATGGCGGGCACCGAGACACGGAGGGGACGTCCCAATCTAAACCACCAAGCTGAACACAGCAGCCTTTCTGGTCTTGAGCGGAGGCGCTACCGTGGGCTCTTTCCTCCTGGGAGAAGCTCCCGAGTGGCCTTTCGCATTCCCGGTCACAGGGATTCCAACAACCAGGAAGAAGGGAGTGACTAGAACAGCACTCAGAAAACATAAATATCCCGAACCCTTCCTGACTGGTCGCCGTGGACACGACCGTGTGAGGTGGTTGCGCGGAGCCGTTCAGAAAGCGGTGTCTTGTTTACCTAAGGGCCCCCACGCGGCGAGCCAGATACTCCCCACTTCCTGCTCATCCTCGGGGGCCCCAGGATGTGAACCGGGTGAGGAGGATGAGAGACTTCCTGCCGCGGGGCTGACCCACGCCCGAGGAGACTCTGTCCAGCGCGGCCGGGCAGGGGGGCATCTTGCTTCCTCTTTTAAATCACTCAAGAGGTGGAACGCAGGGCTGGGCCGGAAGTCAGCTCATTGTTGTTGAAGTCACACTCTGGGTCTCCAGCGTGCGGCTCGCATCTCCGCGCGCAGCCCAGCTGAGGGAGAGGAGGGAAGCGGAAGCGAAGGTTTCCTCCGGCACGGGGGCCGGCAGCCATTGGCTCAGGACAGTCACGTGCTACCCAGCCCGCAGGCGCCGGGAGCGCACTGCCCTCCCCGCACTGGAGGCTTTCGGGCCCCCGCTTAGCTCCCTGCGCTGCCACAAACAAGCAGGGCAGAAACGTCTGGTTCTGCCAGTCATCCCTCTATAGCTCCAGCAGGACCGCGCAACATGTCTGGGAGGGGGCCTGGGGAAGGAAGGCATTTGGGGCCATTGTTAGCGAGAAAAAAAAAAGCACTGGCTCTATAAACACGCATGAATGGCCTGGTTAACTCAGCTGCCCGGGATCCTGTTGAAAGCTTTTACTCATTACTCTTGGTATTGTTATTATCGAAGACATTCCCTCCTACACATCCTTCCTTGCTCCTGGCAGGGGACACCTCCCGATCCGCATCAGGGAACAGTCAACCTCCCTCGCAGGGAGTAAGGAGCGGGAAAGCACCGGGTCCAAGCAGTTTGGCACCGCTGGTGGTGAGTGGAATTCTTGCCGGTGTTAGCTAATTTGAACAAATGCATCCACATAGCACATCTGAAAGGGAGATGCAAGCCCATGACGCAGAAAGTTAGGGAGAACAATTTAGGAATATTTTTCAGAGAGGAGGCATCCACAGCGACAGGATCCCACACACAACCGGAAAGTTCTCAGGTGGGAACTGACACGGAAAAAGTCTTCATATAAGTAGAGCCATCAGAAACAGGTGGCATTTTTTTCGCCCATTAAATCAGGGCTCTGCCCAACCTTATCTTGCCAACATGAACTTCTGAGATGGAACATGGGAGTTGGTCCCCCAAGGTCCGTGTCCAGATGCCACCCTCTCCTTGAGACCCTCCTGGGGTTCCTGAGACAAAAGCACCAGCTTTGCTGTGTGAGCCTTAACACCTGCCTTGGCTTCCTGAATAGCCATTGCCATTGGATTCAGGGGCCGTGAACTCCAGCTCAGTTTTATCATCTGCTGACATCACGTTACTTACCTCATGCATTTTTCCAACGAATATTCAAGGGGCCAGGTCTCCTGTTAGACACCAAAAGCAAGAGTAGTGAGCGAAGTCCCTGTCTGCATGGGGCTTGCCTTCTAGAAGGATTATTGTGACAGGAAGGAAGATAAGGCATTGAGAGAGCTTGATTTGGCACATCAGAAGCACTAAATAAATGTTTACTTAATGGATTATTAAATCAATAAGTGGATGAATGACAGACATGAGAATCCTGGACAAGACTTTCAGAATGAAAGCAAAGCCTTTGTTCTGTAAATGTTTGGGGAATATTTAACCACTCTAGAAGCTAAGCGTACCTCAAAATGTTCATTTGAAAATGTGAGACACTATGCATGAATTTCAAAACATACTCATTCACTTCCTAAAGATTGGAAATTCTGAAAATTTTGAACTCAGTTTTAAACTTAAAAATCATACCCAAAGGAAGAGAATACTTGTAAGTTATTCTCCAGGTTGGTAGAAATAAACACTTTCTCCCTTGGAATGCAGGGTCTTGGTGAGGAAAAGCGCACCAGGTTTCCAAGCATTGGAGCTGAGAGGTGAGAGCCTTCTCTCACATCTCATGCAGGAAGAAAGAATCTGGGGCATTTTGATCTTGGCAAGAGCCCTTCAGTCTCATTGCGTGGGGGACCTAGTTTCCGTGAACACAGCCACTCTTCATCAATGCCTCTGGATTTCACTGAAGAAGCGGCCAGGGGGTGGAGAGCCACCTTCCCTTCCTGTGCCCAGCCCCTCCTCTGGTGCCAACTCCCATTCGGAGGAGAGTCACAAGGAATTGTTTGTGCAGGGAGCAGCCCAGCCTTCCCTTTCAGTCCCTGCAGCCACCCCCTCTCCCTCTGATCTTCGCCACCTAATTCCCAGCAGCTGGCTTTGTTGCCGCAACAAGTGGGAACTCTTTCTTAATGTAGCACAAAGGTGTCTGTAGGCAGACAAGCATGGCACACTGCTGGCCGCAGCTGAAATGTGATTTTCGAGACTTGTTTGCGCCCTTGTGTGACTAAGAGTTACCTGCCTCCTGGCTGGGATGAGACCTCTCTCCTACTCATCTGGCACTTGGAACACAATCGTCTTGGCTTCCCAGATGCTGCCAAACTCTCTCATGGGCAAGGCAGAGGAACACGGTTTGGCCCGACCTGTGTAGCAGGGCTGGACGAGTCAACCAGGGACTCGGAGACATTGGCATCAGTTCTCTCCAGGCTGACTGGAATAGCTTTGAGGGGTCCAGGGAAGAAGACTTTTAACATTCTCCTCTGGTTGAACAAATCTACTCTCTGTTTACAAAGTAAACATATATACTAGATTTTTAAAAAAAGCAGATTTCAATTAGTCAAAAATTGAGAATGATAGGCAGCATGTGAGCGGCTTTGGTGTTGAACAAATCAGGAAATAGAGTGAGCGAGCGAGCGAGTAAGCGAATGGATGGGCTGATAAGAACAGAGGAAGAACAGAGCAGTCGAGCTGTCTCTGTATTCTAGGAGCTGATGGACAGAGGCCCCCAGTAGAGGGAAAATCGCTGATGGTAAATTGCAGTCTACTCATGGCCAGGAATACATGTGCAATCCTAGATCTGTTTGAAAAGATGAGACAGCTGTACCACACATGTGGATACGAAAAATACTCAGTTGGCTTTGCGTGAAGAAGACAAAAGCTCAGGACTGAACAGCATGGGTGCTCAGAGCTACAGGCTACCATGCTTGTAGCTAAATTTTGTTCAGTGTGTGTTTGTAAATGCATAGACCATCCCCAGAAGGATGCAGCACCAGGAACACTGGCTGGGTCTGAAAGCAGTCTGCGGAACCAGAGGGAGGGAGACTTTCGTCTCAGCGTGTACTCTCTTTACCTTCAGCCTTTGGCAACTTGTACACAGATTATCTATTGCAAAAAATAAACACATTTCTTTTTTATTAGCAAAAATAAAATTAAAATAGCAATGGATCTGTATCTTTAGAAATAAAGATATAAACCCTATATTTCAAATTAAAAAAGAAGTTGCACTTATACACAGTAGGCTGCCATTTATGTTTTTAAAAATAGTCCACATGTGTCTATGTGTGTATGCACACATGTGTAAACTAGGATATTTTAAAAGTTAGGGAAGGGGAATGGTGAGGGGGCTTTTGCTTTTTATTCTATTTCTGTTTTGTTTAAAGGTTTAATAATGAATGTGCTAGTTTAAGAATGAATAATATATGGGATCAGCATTGTAACACAGTGGGTAAAGCCTCCGACTGCTATGCTGCCATCCCTGTGGGTGCCAGTTCGATTCCCGGCTGCTCCACTTTTGATCCAGCTCCCTGCTGATGGCCTGGGAAAGCAGTGGAAGATGGTCCAAGTCCTTGGGCCCCTGCACCTTTGTGGGAGACCCAGAAGAAGCTCCTGGCTCCTGGATTCAGCCTGGCCCAGTCCTGGCTGTTGCAGCTATCTAAGGAGTGAACCGGTGGATGGAAGATTCTCTCTCTCTTTCTCACTCTATCTCTCTCTTTCTCACTCTCTATCTCTGTCTCTCTGTAGCTCTTTCAAAATAAATAAATATTGGCCGGCGCCGCGGCTCACTAGGCTAATCCTCCGCCTAGCGGCGCCAGCACACCGGGTTCTAGTCCCGGTCAGGGCGCCGGATTCTGTCCCGGTTGCCCCTCTTCCAGGCCAGCTCTCTGCTGTGGCCCGGGAGTGCAGTGGAGGATGGCCCAAGTGCTTGGGCCCTGCACCCCATGGGAGACCAGGAAAAGCACCTGGCTCCTGGCTCCTGCCATCGGATCAGCGCGGTGTGCCGGCCGCGGCGGCCATTGGAGGGTGAACCAACAGCAAAGGAAGACCTTTCTCTCTGTCTCTCTCTCTCACTGTCCACTCTGCCTGTCAAAAAATAAATAAATAAATAAATAAATAAATACATCTTTTGGAAAAATAGAAATGTTTTTTTAAAAAATAAAATAAATGAAACAACGAGATAGCTCTATGTATACTGATCAGTAATGATTGCTAAGATACAGTGTTAGGTGAAAAAGCAAGGAACATGTATGTGATGCTATGCAGCATCTGTGTGGGACACTTGCAAGTGACATTCCCTGAAAGGATGTACAGGAAGTTGGCATCCGTGGTGTCCTCTGAGAAGGGAGAACAAGTGGCTAAGGCGTGAGTCCCTGGGAAGCTTCCTCAACATGTGTTATACTTTGGATATTTCATTTTTTAAGCCATATGCATATACTGCCTGGATACATTTTTAAATTAATTATTTTAATGTTGGAAACTTAGAACTTTCTCATGAGATCTAAGACTATGTAAATAGTGAGATTAAAAGCCTAAAAACATTGAGGGGCCAGTGCTGTGGTGCAGCAGGTTAATGCCCTGGCCTGAAGCGCCAGCATCCCATATGGGCGCCGGTTCTAGTCCCAGCTGCTCCTCTCCCGATCCAGCTCTCTGCTATGGCCTGGGAAAGCAGTTGAGGATGGCCCAGGTCCTTGGAAGCGTGGGAGACCTGGAGGAAGCTCCTAGCTCCTGGCTCCTGGCTTCGCATCTGCCCAGCTCCAACCGTTGCGGCCAACTGGGAGTGAACCAGCAGATGGAAGACCTCTTTCTCTCTTTGCCTCTCCTCTCTCTGTGTAACTCTGACTTTCAAATAAATAAATAAATCTTAAAAAAAACATTGGAAACCGAAGTGCTTTCTTTGCCTCCACACAGGTGCACACGATAATCTTCACAGAGTACTGTGCTTTCTTGGGAACTAAAGCACCCAGTCATCACAGGAACACCCCCTCTGAAGACCAGAACTCAACCATCCCCTTCCTTCAGCAGTCATGAGGCGTCTGAGCCCAGCCCAGGGAATCTGCCCTGTGTGAAACAAAACTGAGACGGGGCTACACTCCAGCTGCTGCACCGCTGGCTCAAACCAAAGTGTTCCAATGACTGAGGAATGACGCGCTGAGTGTCTATGCCGTGTGAGGCTGACCACCCCCACCCCCACATGTCTCTTAA